TTTTTCTTATATATAAATTTATTATTTTCCAAAGTTTTTTTTTTGGTTTATATTATTTTTCAAAGTTGACAATTCAAAGCAGCTAAGCTTCAGAGATGATTTTGCTGTGACGTTTCCACACTCGAACACAGTCGTATGACAAGAGAACTGGGTTGCTTAGAGAACAAGGAAGGTTATTAAAAAGAAACATAAACAATTTTACCAACCTAAACCCTATAGGTGTATGTGTTGGAGAATCCATTATTATTTTTTATTGTATATTTCGTTTTTGCTGCTTGGGGAAATTGATAAGAAGTGGAACAATAAAAACGAATAGCAGAAAGGTCTCTGTTTTACACTTTTGTGGACTTTGAACTATTCTCCGTTGACCCTACACAAACGATTCCTCCACAATGAGTTTCTGAAAGCACAGAAACAATTAGTTGAATGGATTGTCGAGTTTGTGATTAGTTGTTAAAAAATATACGTATTTCGATTAGATGCAAAGAGATAAGATTTTTTAAGTTGTAACATATCAAGAATTGGACGAGTCGTAACTCGTAATATTATCTACCTAAATGGCTAGGTAGATTGGCAATTTCTTTGCTCTTTGCTTTTTTACAGATTGGCAACATTTATGTATAATTTGATGGTTTAAGCCATTTACGATTTCCTATTTGGATAAAAAGAAGAGAGTTATATGCAGCAAAACTGTGTTGCAAATGTGTCCAAACTGCAAAATCCACCGGTTTTCATAATTTTTGACTTCTCGAAACCGCAAATCCACCGGTTTTCATTCTTCCAATCCTTCACTTGGGATATTTTCCAAATTCGAAGCTTCTTTTTGGGGTACGAAACCTGCAGGAACAATAACATTGGAGATCGTTCGACAAGACTGGTAATAAGGTTCACTGTGATAAACCGAACCAATCCCTCCATTTAAACTAGTGAAATTCTCTGAGGTAATGAAAGTGAGGATCACAGTTAGTGAAATCGATGAGGTTATTGTAATACGGTGATTGCTTAGAGAGTTTCATTAGGAGGAAATTTTGTTAACTTTTCTTACACGTTTAAGAGTTTTGAATGTGTTGTCTATGTGAAGGACAATTTTTTTTTTGGTCGAAACGATGTTGAAGTTAATTAGAGAGGTTTTTGTTTGAAACTCTGTGGCAGCTAAGCTTCAGAGATGGATGACCATAAGGTTCGCCATGATTTTCTCCCCAAAAGGGGAATTTAGCTGTGACGTTTCCACACTCAAACACAGAGTTGCATGACGAGAGAGCTGAGTTGCTTAGAGAACAAGGTAGGTCATGAAAAAGGAACATGGACAAAACTAAACCCTAGTTCCGGATAATTTATCACCTTTTTTTTTGAAATAGTATATTTCGTTTCTGTTTCTTGTAAAATTTGTTTACAAGAGAAGAGTACAGAAAACAAAAACTCAACAAAAAGGAAACGAAGTCCAGGAGCAGAGAAAGGTCCTCTGTTTCACACTTTTGAGCGAACAGTAGACTTTGGACAAGTGTCCATAGACCCTACTGAAACGATTCTTCGATAAGGAGTTTCCGAAAGCCCAGAACCAATTAGTCTGAATGGATTATTTGTTGTTAGTTGGTAAAATTAAGTTTCGGCTAGATGCAAAGAGATCTGATTTCATTTACTAAAGACACCAAGAATTGAACGACTCATGCCATCTCCAACCATAGAGATATAAAAGCTCTGTTTTTTTTTTTTTGTTAAGAAAAATCTTGTAATCTCAACCAAGTAAATATTTGGACTGAAATTTAGCTAAGAAAAAAACATAGAATCTTCAAAAGGTAAATTTTGCATTTTGATTTGAACTCTTTATGTTTCTGTCTAATAAATAAACTCAGTTTTAAAGAGTCAAACATGGGTTTGGTCAACATGTGAGACTTGGATATGTTTAAGGACCAAGTCAACAGAGAAAGTGACATACAAGAAGAAATGAAGACTAATCATTATACATATAATTTTCACTCACCCAAACAAGTTTAGAGGCCATTCCTTATAACACCCACAACTCCACTACTTTGATAATCGTGTTGGCTATTTCATGTAAAGAGTCTTTTGTAAAAGAGGAAAAGAGTTTTATGTTAATTACTAAATTCTCAAAGTAACAAAAAAAAGCATTCATTGTAAAAACATTTTCTTTTGTATGAATAAATTCTCAATTCAATTTAATAAACAAAACACTCTTTTGTAGCTTTCTGTTTGCCAAGGCTCTAATCAATGGTACTCTAATCTGGCCTAAATGTCAGACGACCAAAGCCTATCAAAAATCATTATTTTTTTCAGGTCTACCATTTAGACAAATGCAAGAGATCAAATTACTTGCATTATGTTGATGCCATAAGAAAAGGAAAAAAAACTACAGAAGACAATCTAAGCCCTGAGCTCGGAATGGCATGGAAAAATTCCCAATGAACAAGTCCAAGAAATTACTTTTCGAATTTGTTAAGGGCGCTAAAACTCGATTTTTTCAAAGTAGTCTAAGGAAAGTTTTGACACGCTTATGCATCACATACAAGAAAGGCACTTCGAAACATTTTAGAGTTTAACACACCAATTTTTTGTAGTTTTGTTCAATAAAAAATCTCTTGCAAGGTTACACGAAGTATATGATGGAGTCTCGGAAATAGATTTTCAACTTGTGGATCATATCAATACCTCGGAGTAGCTAGAATTTTCTTCTGAAAGCCAAGAAGACTCTCCAAGTGGCGCTGCAGACAAATGTAAAGAAGGCTTAGGAGGGACTTCAAGAGCATCCAAACTTCCTTCCATCATTTCAACAACTCTGTTCATCGGTGGACGATTTGATGGACATGGCTGAATACACCAGAGACCCACAACGGTCATCTTCTTTGCAATATCTTCCTCCTCTCTAGTTATTTCATCACCAATTTTCCATATATTCTCTCCATTTTCAAGATCCTTATAGATCCAATCTGGAAAGTAAGTCGAACTAGAGTTAGAAGCAGCAGTTTCTACACCTTCTTTGTTCCTTGCTCCAATCATCTCGAGGACCAACATTCCGTAGCTATAAACATCTGACTTGTGGGAGACTCTGCCATACATTATTGAGAACACCTCAGGTGCAATATAACCTATAGTTCCTCTTGTGTCTAGCAATGACAGTATGCTTTCTCTTTTCTCACATAGCTTAGCAAGGCCAAAGTCCGAGACTTTAGGGCAGAGGTTGTCATCTAACAGTATGTTTTGGGGTTTGATGTCAAAATGCACAATCCTTGTTTTGCATCCATGGTGCAAGTACTCAAGTCCCCGAGCAACCCCTAGTGCAATTCCATATAGTGTAGTCACGTCCAAATGCAATGGCTTCTTTTTAGAGATAAACTGATCTAGAGACCCATTTTCTAGAAACTCATACACAATTGCTCTTTTGGACTTTTCATAGCAAAAACCAAGTAAAGAAACAATGTTAACATGAGATGTTTGGCTCATGCTTGCGACTTCGTTGATGAAGTCTTCACCATTGCCCTTAAAATCCTTCAAGAGTTTCACCGCAACTTTACGACCATCGCACAGGTTTCCTCCATAGACAGTTCCAAATCCTCCTTTCCCAACTGTGTGTGAAAATGATTTTGTAATTTTCTTCACTTCTGCATAATTGTACTGTTTTAGTTGTAGTAGCGCCTTTAGGTTCTGGTATCTCGGATGATGTGAAATTTTTCTCTTTCGAAGGCCTAATAAAAATACCATGAACATGAGAAGTCTTGTTGCAACATATATAATCAGGAAAGAATGTTAAGGCAGTTGTAATTATTTCAAACGCTATGTGGTCAGAAACTAACCCAAGAATCCACAAGCTAATCCGATTCCTAGAGACGTTGTATTATTGCTTGAGTAAGGCGTTGCTTTTGATAGGCCTTTGCTTGTGTATTGACCTGCTAGTTTCTTTCTCTTCCCGATTAAGAAACAGAGCAAACCTCCTACGAAAAGAGTGGCACCAAAGAATCCGCAAGCAAATCCGATGCCTAGAGACAAAGAAAAAGACATGAGCTACGTAAGATTATGCTATCTCTGAGCTATATTACACTGAAATTAGTTTCTTTGAAGGAATAAGAATTGACCCTTACCTAATTTTACATTTTTGGAGAGTTCTGCATGAACAAATACCACAAGAAAAATGTCAGTTCAAACTCAAGACAGAACTTAGAACTGTGATTGAAGCAAATGTCGAAAGTCAAGAGAGTTTCTATATTTTGGTCATCAGAAAAGGAATGTAAATCAAATTCATGTTAGCTGAATTAGTTCCAGAGAAAAAGTCAGGTCGGTTGGTGGGGCAGTCTGGAGTGTTTGAGGAAGGAAGAAGATCAAACTAAGATTCAGATTAACATAGATCCGTCGAGATACTCAGAGAAACAGAGCAGAAGAAATCATTACCCTTCTTTCGACAAGTATGCTTATGAGGCCCATTTTTACAATAGCAGACGAATTCTTTTGATCTCTGACTATATCCACAAGCACCCTCTGATCTTCCGCATTCTACGCAATCAGTGTTGAATTTAAGCCCGAAACCCTTATCAAGAGCCTTCTTTACAGCCTCCAGACTCTGATTTCTCTCTAATATCTTCAAGGCAGATCCAGAGACTGGTATACTGATATTTCTTTCACACAGTGCGCTCAACTCGTTGAAGATAGATGTATCCCAAGAGTGTGAAGGGAACGGGACAAAGTAACTTTCCCCAGCATTATCATCCTCACAGTTAAGCCGTCTAATGTAATCGTTGGGCTTAAAATCTACTCTTCGATAAGGGCATTTGTAATAAAAATTTGACAGCACAGTGTCGTTAGAAAATGGAAGGACATCGTGGTTGATCGTTGGGCTCTCAGGGTCTTGGGGACAAAGATTGTTGAGATAATCCATTCTTGCGAGTGTTATGATGTTATCATCATAGTTCATCTGGAGGATTCTGAACTTAACCGAGGAGATGGTAAGCTCTGCAAAACCGTTGCTGCAGTTGACCTTGAAATCTGGGTGACCGCACTCTTCTCTGTCAGATGTCCAAAAGGGATAAGAGAGATGTATCTCATTTCCGCAGGTAAACGGAAAAGCGCAGTGTATGTGACGCTCATCAACTGAGAAAACACAAGAGGGGATTACAAAGAGCATCCATATGATTATATAGGACAAAGATTCTGTCAGAGACAGAGAAAGGTTGATCATGGTGCTTGCCTTAGAGATGAACAAGAGGATGATATTAAATTATTTTAAAAGATTTTATTTTGGCTTGGTTGTTATAAAATATAACTTTTGTTAATTTTTAATTTCTTCTGTTTTCGTAGGACGACTTAGGTGCAAAAACTTTACTTGGAAAAGTCAGGCAAAGTAGAAATGGGGCCAAAAATAGACTAATGAAGAAAATTTTCCAAAAGGGTTTCAAAAGAATAGAAAGACTTGACCGTAATTGGCCCTTCTTTTACTCTCCACTTTCTTTGTCAGTTTCAGAAAATTTCAAGGAATGAAGAGTGGATCAAGATAGAGACTCTTTAGTATTTATCATGGAAATTGAACAAGATGAAGAGTTGATGAAGGAGTTGTGATAAAGAATGGAGACAGATTCATGGTAAGGAAGACTTTTATACCATGAAAATGACTTGATGGAAATTTTGTAGGCCAAGTTGCTGGAGACAGATAAAGACTTCTAGACCACTCAAGTTTCTATCTTCTCTCTTGAGCTCACTAGGCAGTAAGGTATGTCTTAGCACTGCTAAAACCAACATAAGGAAGATTGAATGAAAAAGATATTTGTGACTTGGTTAGAGAGATTGCAGATTATACCTTCTGCAGTTCTTGGTGATTAGCTTGTTATATATGCGTGGGGATTTACAAACTGTGAAAGTTAGGGATTATAGTTGCGGTATATGTTGAAGTAAGCTTGACAAAAGCTTAAACAGCAAGTTTCCTAAAGAGTTTAGGAAAAGGAAATTTTCTATCTAGGAGTTATCTAGAAAGTTCTTAAGAGTTATTTAAGAATGTTAAGTGTTTATCTATTAGGATTAGGATGTGTTTTATCTCCTCTATATAAGAGATACCAAAGCTGTGGTAATCCTTATGTCTGTTGAGAGAGATTAAGAACTTTAGGTTTTGAGTGAGTTTCCTAAAGATTTATAAAAGAAGAGCTTTTATATTCTTGATCTAAGCATTCATATATTCTAGATTTGGTATCAGAGCTTGGTGGAAAGATCGATTTGATACAATTAGACAAAATACGAAGATCATGGGGGATATCATACCAGTTCTGCAAGTCAAAGGGATGAGTACATCGTCGATACAATGTCCTATGTTAACCTCTACTAACTATACTGTGTGGGTAATGAGAATGAGAGTACTTCTCAAAATCCACAAAGTATGGGATATCATCGAGACAGAGTCCACCGACGGAGAGAAGAACGACTTGGCCATGGGATTAATTTTTCAATCAATCCCAGAATCACTTATCTTACAAGTTGGCGAGTTTGACACCGCGAAGAAGGTGTGGAATGCAATCCAAGGACGACATGTTGGAGCAGAGAGGGTTCGCGAAGCACGATTACAAACTTTGATGGTTGAATTCGATCGTTTAAAGATGAAAGAAACAGAGACTATCGACGATTTCAGTGGTAAACTATCTGAGATATGTTCAAAGTCAGCTGCTTTGGGAACCAGCATTGAAGAATCAAAACTAGTGAACAAGTTCCTCAAAAGTATACCTCGAAAGAAGTATATCCATATCGTTGCGTCGCTTGAACAAGTACTCGACCTAAATACAACAAGTTTTGAAGACATCGTCGGTCGACTAAAAGCATACGAAAAACGTATATATGAAGAAACAGAGGAAACTTCAGATGGTCAGAGCAAGTTGATGTATGCAAATACAGATACTCAGGCGAACCGTAACCAAAACAATGAATATAGAGGCAGAGGTCGTGGAGGACGCTTCTATGGTAGAGGAAGAGGACGAGGAAGGTCGTACGAACCTAGAGATCTATCCAAAGTTGTATGTTACCGCAGCGACAAAACAGGGCACTATGCCTCGTCATGTCCAGACAGACTACTAAAGGCAGAAGCAGCAGAGGAAACTAAAGAGGATGATTCACAAGAAGCCGAGAAGCTTATGATGCATGAAGTATTTTTCCTAAACGAGAAGAAGGTAACACCAGATAAGTTCGACGCCTGCTCAGAGGATATGTGGTATCTAGACAACGGCGCATCAAACCACATGACAGGAAATCGACATTGTTTCTCAAGCATTGATGAGACCATCACAGGAAAGGTGAGGTTCGGAGACGATTCACATATCGACATCAAAGGCAAAGGATCCATCGTTTTTCTCAGCAAGAAAGGAGGGAAGAAGACCTTAACTAATGTCTACTTCATACCCAATTTGAGAAGTAATATTATAAGCCTTGGTCAAGCTACAGAATGTGGATGTGAAGTAAGGATGAAAGAGGACTACTTAGTGCTGCTCGACAAAGACGGACAACTATTGGTACGAGCAAACCGAGCTAAGAACAGGCTGTACAAAGTCAAGATGGAGGTGGATATGACTAAATGCTTACAAATAATGCCAACCAACGACTCTAAGTGGCATCCTCGTCTAGGACACATCAACACTGAAACAATAAAGACGATGGTGAAGAAAGAACTTGTAATCGGTATAACAGGTGTTCCAAAGGAGCAGGAAACTTGTGTCTCGTGTCTTCTTGGGAAACAAACTCGGAGAAGCTTCCCAAAGGCAACTACATATCGAGCCACAAAAACACTTGAACTAATACATAGAGATTTATGTGGACCGATCACACCACCCACTGCAGCACAGAAGAGGTACATATTTGTACTAGTTGATGACCACTCTCGATACATGTGGACGCTTTTACTGAAGGAAAAAAGTGATGCCTTTGAGAGATTTAAAGGATTTAAAACCATCGTTGAGCAAGAAACAGGAGTACGCATCAAGACACTTCGTACAGACAGAGGTGGAGAGTTTTTATCTCAGGATTTTCAACAGTTCTGCGAAATCTCAGGCATTAACAGGCATCTAACAGCTCCATACTCTCCTCTCCCCAACAGAATGGAGTTGTTGAAATAAGGAATAGAAAGCTCATGGAGATGACTAGAAGTTTGCTAAAACACATGGAGGTGCCAAATTATCTTTGGGGGGAAGCTGTTAGACACGCTACTTATATTATTAACAGAGTTGCGACACGAGCGTTGGAATCGCAAACTCCATACGAAGTCTTTAAAGGGAGGAAACCAAATATTGAACATCTGCGAATATTTGGGTGTGTCGCGTATGCAAAAATAGAGAAACCACATGTGAGGAAGCTTGATGATAGATCCCGAATTCTTGTGCATCTAGGAACAGAGCCTGGAACAAAAGCTTATCGACTTTTAGACCCAACCAATCGCAAGATCATAGTAAGTCGAGATGTTATCTTCAACGAAACCAAAGCTTGGAAGTGGAACAACTCAGAGAAAGATAGCAACAAACCAGGAATGTTCTATGTTGAGTTTGGAGAATTTGGGAATCATGGCGTAAGAGAAGAAGTCTCTATCGACGAAACAGAGGAATACACAGAGGAAAACAGAGGTGACGAAGGAAATAATAGAAGCAAAAAAGAAGAAGGAGAAACTGATGAAATCATCTCCCAACCGGATGATGAGAACATCGAACAGGAGCAACAACAAAATCAACCAAGTGAGCCACTTTGAAGATCAATAAGGCAGAGAAGCAAACCCGAATACTTGAAAGATTTTGTTTACTTAGCAGAAATTGAAGGTGAACATCTACTTCTATCCATCAACGAAGAACCTTGGGATTTCTACGAAGCAAACAAAATTAAAGCATGGAGAGAAGCTTGCAAAGATGAGATATCATCGATAGAAAAGAATAAAACTTGGACTCTGGTTGAACTTCCTAAAGGAGCAAAAGCAATTGGACTAAAGTGGGTTTTTAAACTCAAACGAAATTCAGATGGGAGTATAAACAAGCACAAAGCAAGGCTAGTGGCAAAAGGTTATGTGCAAAGACATGGGATAGATTTTGATGAAGTATTTGCTCTGGTGGCTCGTATCGAAACAGTTCGCTTTATTATCTCTTTAGCTGCTTCTAATGGATGGGAGGTACATCATCTTGATGTAAAGACTGCATTCTTACATGGAGAACTAAAGGAAGAGGTGTATGTGTCTCAACCAGAAGGTTTTAAGATCAAAGGAAGTGAGCAGAAGGTGTATAAACTACACTAAGCATTGTATGGTTTAAAGCAGGAACCAAGGGCATGGAACAACAAGCTTAACAAGATATTAAAAGAGCTGAAATTTGAGAAGTGTTCTAAAGAACCCTCCTTATACTGGAAACAAGACAAAAGTGATCTTCTTCTTGTGGCTGTCTATGTTGATGATCTTTTGGTGACAGGATCTAGCTTGAGTACAATTCTTGAGTTTAAAAGAGGAAAGTCGACTAAGTTTGAGATGAGTGACCTTGGTCTACTTACATATCTTGGAATAGAAGTCCTACAACACAAAGATGGGATTCTTTTAAAACAGGAAAGATATGCAACAAAGATTCTCGAAGAAGCAGGGATGAGTAGCTGTAATGCGACACAAGCACCAATGGACCCAGGCCTCCGGTTGTCTAAAGCTAAGGAAGAGAAAGGAGTTGACGAGACCAATTATAGGAGGAACATCGGGTGTCTCAGATACTTGTTGCAGACAAGGCCCGATCTCTCCTACAGCGTGGGAATATTAAGCCGATATATGCAAGAACCAAAAGTATCTCATGAGGCTGCGTTGAAACATGTTTTAAGGTACCTCAAAGGAACATTGGGGTTCGGTCTTTTATTCAAGCGAGGAACAAAGTCAGGCTTAATAGGATACAGCAACAGCAGTCTAAACGTAGACTTAGATGATGGAAGGAGTACAACAGGGCATATTTTTTATTTGAATGAGTGCCCAATAAGCTGGAGCTCACAGAAGCAAGAGACAGTTGCTCTCTCATCATGTGAATCAGAGTTTATGGCTGCTAGGGAAGCAGCAAAACAGGCGATTTGGTTGAAGGAACTTCTTAACGAGATTTTTGGAATAGCAGAAGAAAGAGTAACACTTCGGGTTGATAATAAATCTGCTATAGCACTCACCAAAAATCCAGTATTCCATGGACGTAGTAAGCACATACATCAGCGATACCACTTCATACGAGAATGTGTCGAAAACAAACTGATCGAAGTTGAGGATGTTCCAGGAACAGAGAAAAAGGCAGACATTCTAACTAAATCACTTGGAAGGATTAAGTTCAAAGAAATGAGGGAGCTTATTGGAGTTCAAGACTTATCAAGAGAAAATTTCAAGCTTAAGGGGGAGAATGTTGAAGTAAGCTTGACAAAAGCTTAAACAGCAAGTTTCCTAAAGAGTTTAGGAAAAGGAAAGTTTCTATCTAGGAGTTATCTAGAAAGTTCTTAGGAGTTATCTAAGAATGTTAAGTGTTTATCCATTAGGATTAGGATGTGTTTTTATCTCCTCTATATAAGAGATACCAAAGCTGTGGTAATCCTTATGTGTGTTGAGAGAGATTAAGAACTTTAGGTTTTGAGTGAGTTTCCTAAAGATTTATAAAAGAAGAGCTTTTATATTCTTGATCTAAGCATTCATATATTCTAGAGTATATGTTAAGAGGCTGCAAGTTGACTTATGAGCAAGCTTTTATTTCCTGTTTTAGTCAGGCGAAGAACTAATGTTATATGAATGAGAAACTTGCTGATAGATCAGAAACTTACCATTAGATTTAGATGGAATCATTTGACTGCAGGCGATTACTGATCCTGATGAATTTGTCTTGCAGCAAATCGGAGTGGAAACATCGTAGCCACAGATTCCACCACTAGATTGACATTCTTGACACGGTCTCTCATCATACTTCAGCTTCACCACGAATCCTTCTCTAAGAACACTTCCCAAACGGGTCATATTCAAAGCTTCCTCCTCTGGAGCATAGTTTGTGGGAACAGTAATGTTGAAACTCGCACCACAGTTTTCATAATAGTTATTGTCCTGATGTACCGAGGCGATACCAATCTTTGCACATTTGAAATTCGAAGGATTGTGAAGACGTTCGTTGCAGAGATAGTGAACAAAGAGGGTCTTGTAATCTGGCGAAAGCTGAAATAGTTCAGGAGTCAACGTTGTGCCGGTGAATGTAGCATTGCAGAATGATTCGCCTAAAAAGTCTTGCCTCGCAAGTCGAAGTGTGTTAGTTGAGTTGTCTATTTGGAGGACACTGTACATCTGACCTGAAATTATAAAAAAGGTCTTGTTCGAGGATTGGTCACAGTGAAGCTCCAAAGAAGGATGACCACAAGGTTGTGGCCGAGACTCTCCCCACAAAGGGAAACCGGCGGTAAAATTCCCACACTGAAACCGATGATGACATAACCTAAGTTCTCGTTGACTTAGAGCACAAGGAAGATGGTGAAAATAGGACAAGAAAAATATCAAGATCAGACAAGAATTAGGTTTTGAGAATCCGAAGAGTATGGGAGAGAACATGATTGATATCTGAATGAAGTTTCCTTTTTTTTTTTTCTGGGGTTGGTTTTTGCTGAGCAGATAAGCTATTCAATAAACCATACAAATGCAAGTGGTGATGTTGAAGTAGCAAGTCAAGAGTGAATGCGACAGATACAAAAGATTTGGGTGAGTTTCATCATTCTTAATTGTTTCATTGACTTTCAAACACTTGCGTCTCTTCATTTATTTAATTTTATTAGTGCACTCACCCGAAAATGATAAAATTTACCTTACTGGTCCTTATGGAGAATCTTGTTAACGTATAAGAAAGACTCATTTATAACAACCTGTGTTCTAAAACTCGAGCTAGGCGGTGCTAGGCAGCGGTTCTAGGTGGTTCTCCGATTTTTCACCGCGTAAGACCGCTTAAAACTGCCTAAAACCGCATAAAACCGCCTAAATCCGATTAAAAAATAAAATATCGCCTAATTTTTAAAAATCAACCCAAAAAAATCAAAAAATTGAAATTGACCCAACTTTATTAATAAATTTTCCATTTTTTTTTCTGAATCGGCCTAAAATCAATAAAAATTAATATAAAAATTAATATAAATAATTAAAAATTAAATTTAATATAAATTAATCAAAAAATTAATCACCGATTAATCAGCGATTAATCACCGATTTTCGACCTAGGCGCTAGTCAGAGCCCGTCCGCCCGCCTACCGCCTAACGATTTTTTGAACACTGATAACAACGAAAACTCCATTATTTTGGATACTACTTAAGATGCATCTGTAAGCCATCAGCCGAACAATCAGAGATGCATTAGAGCATCTCCACTAGTGTTACTCACCTAGTGTCTCTTAGCAATTGTTTAGTATTATTTTTAGGGAGAGAGAAAAAAATAAGAGATTTATGTTTTTGTGGTGTCCACTAGTGTTCTCTTAGTTGTGTTTCTTAGCAATAAAATAATATTTTTTTCCTAACTTAAATTACATAATTATTAAATAATAAAATTTTAAATATACAACTTATTGAATAAGAAAACATTAAACAATACAAACTTAAACAAATAATTTATTGAAGAAGAAAACATAGAACATACATTCAAGATGTGGTTTAGGTGGGAAATGTGTTCCAAATGTGCTCCACTAGATCATCTTTCAAACGTTTATGTATTTGCTGATCACGAACTTCATTACGAATGCCGATCATATTGTTGATGTTTGTAGGCATATCTCTTGAATACGCCATATCAACATGTGATGATCTGATTCCGTCTGGTTGTTGGAATCCAGATATATCGTACAAACAGTGGTTACCCCGTTCGTTTTCTACAATCATATTGTGTAATATGATTGATGCCTTCATAATCTTCCCAATCTTTTCCTTGTCCCAGATGAGTGCCGGATTTTTAATGATAGCAAACCGAGCTTGAAGAACCCCGAAAGCACGCTCGACATCTTTACGGACGGATTCTTAAATTTTGGCAAATCTTTGTTCTTTTTCACTTTGTGGAAGGTGAATAGATTGGATAAACGTCGCCCATTTCGGATAGATACCGTCAGTTAGATAGTAAGTCAGTTCACAGAATACCTAACTTTCGGAGCTCGACCTTGTAATATGTCGTCAAAAACAGGTGAGCGGTCAAGAACGTTTATATCATTTAAAGTACCTGGAGGCCCAAAGAATGCGTGCCATATCCAAAGATCGTATTATGCCACAGCTTCTAATACGATTGTCGGTTTTCCTGCACCCCGGGTGTATTGACCTTTCCAAGCGGTTGGACAATTCTTTCATTCCCAATGCATACAGTCGATGCTTCATATCATCCCTGAAAAGCCACGTGACTCTCCAACATCGAGGAGGTGTTTGAGATCTTCTGGTGTGGGACGTCTAAGGTATTGATCTCCAAACAACTCTATTATGCTTGAAGTGAAATTTTCCAAGCATAAAATTGCGGTAGATTCACCTATACGCAAGTATTCGTCCACCGCGTCTGCTTCACAGCCATACGCCATCATCCGAATTGCGGCTGTGCATTTTTGTAGTGCTGATAGCCCTAATCGACCGGTAGCGTTCCGTCTTTGTTGGAAATATGGAACCTCTTCAGATAGCCTATCCACAATCCGCATGAATAAAGTCTTGTTCATGCGAAAACGCCGTCGGAATATGTGTGGAGGATAGATTGCATCTTCCGAGAAGTAGTCATTCCATAACCGGATTTGACCTTGTTCCCGTTCTCGTTCAATGTATGCTTTTTTCTTCTTTTTTTTCTTGGCGGTTGCAAGACGTTCTATGATCTCTTCATATGCTTCTTCGAATTTTCGCTCAAATATTGCATCAAAAGATTCATCAAGTACATCTTCAAACTCATCAGAATCATCAGAAGTATAGTGTGATGAAGACGCCATGTAGCTGCCTAGGTTTAGTGTATTGTTGCGAAACAAGGAAAGAGTTGTGTGAAATGGTCGGCGAGAATAGATGAAGAAGATAGATATGGTTTTCGCATATAAATGAGTAATAACGAAAGACTTGGGAAAAAACAGAAAAGAGAATTCAAGTGTAAGAGAGAATTGTTTGTGAGCCATGGAACTAAAACTTTGGTTATATATATAGAAAACATTATCTCCAGCAAATGTGGTGTACAAAAAATTTCAGATACCATCGTTTACAATAATTAAAAACGAGTGTAGCTCGTGACACAAGTAACCAAAACGAGTGTAGCTCATGACAGAAGACCCCAAAACTCCTTGTCCCACATAAAGCACTCCACAAAAGCCTGAAAAAGATGACAAAAGTCATAGAAATCAAATAATCAAAGTCACAGAATACCGACAAGGATTAAACACATGGTAACTCTCAGAGCCAAAGTCGACAACAAACATGAATATACGAAACACAATCAATCATTGCACTTCACGAAGAACACAAGAACATGACATTGAAACAGACATAATCTGAAACAGACATTAGACATACATAACACGTACATGTCCCAAACATAAACGGGGAAACACAAACAAACATCACACTAATTGAAACATAGAGTTCGACGTAAAGGTTCAAGACAACAACTCAGAAATCAACTTGTTCTTGAGGGCATTTTCGATGTCAGAGAGTGGCTCAGTCTTCGCTAGGAGATTGTCGAGAGTCTTGTGCTTAGCAAGTTTTGACTTCATCTCCATATCTTGTTTTCTACTCTTAGCAATTTCTACCTTCAACTCCAAATCTTGTTGCCTAATACTCCACAAGTTCTGAAACTCGAGTAGTGCCTTACCTTCTTCTTTACAGCCGTTTTGCTTCTTGGCTTTTGACTTAGACGCTTTCACTCCGGGTGGTCGCATCTCTGCAGCATCATCTACATGGACTCCGGCCTCCACATTGTTAGACGACTGAGCCGATCCGCCTTCATCCACCTTTTTTCTTTTCGAGCTTGCACTGTCTTTTAGAGCAGAGGCTCTGCACCATTTGTGGTCATGCCTTAACTCGCGCCATGCATGTTCTAAGACAAACTTGATGCCGTGATCATTGAAAAAGATGTCATGGGCACCTTTCATGACATCATTTTCATTCTGGCCGCTGGTCTTCTCTTTTGTAGCTGCTTCATAGCATCTACGAACTTGCAAACTTGATCGTTGATCCTACACCAACGTTGCTTGCACTGCCCGACTTCCCTTTTTGGCTGACCGGCGAGCTGCGGTGAGTTGTTGTAGTACAAGCATATGCGGCTCCAGAAGGCAGACGCATTCTGGTCATTACCAACGATCGGATCTTTACTCGTATTCAGCCACGCGGAGATGAGGATATATCCTCCTTCGGTGACCACTTGATTCTTTGGGCCGGTGTCTTCCCTCCTCCGCTTGGAGCCTCAGAAGTCTGTGTACTAAACACAGGGACCTCTGATGATCCAAGGTCAATGATGTGCGAGAAGCCGTCGTTAGAGAGCTGGCTTGTTAAAAGGTTTACAAAACCTTCGGCCTGGCCGTAATGTTTGTCGGAATCCATTAGGGATAGGTTTTTTAGGGTTTACAAAGGTTCGGTGGTGTTCAAGAAAGAGGAAGGGTTTAGAAGTAGGCAATGTTTTATGTTGAAGATGTTTTCAGATGAGTTAAAGTTTATTTATGTTGTACAAGTTTTTTAATGAAGTTTTACTGAAGCAGAGTGTCATTTACTAACCCGAACCTAACAAGCATTGATCACAATAGATCCCAAAGCACACACAAACTTTCTATTTTCATTCAAGGCATTAAAAAACTAACTACTTTCAGCTAACTACCTCAACAAGCATTTATACCAACTCAATGCCTAACTAGTTCCGAAAAGACAAAGGGGAAAAAGGAGACTAACCTCGATGAAAAGAATCGATGATAGATTGGCATAACTTGATATCTCGATTATCCCACCATGTTAACCTCAAAAAAAAAAATTAAAAATAAGTGTAATGGACATATAACATTCATTCTATTCCAACGACTAAGCCTTAACTCCTCTACCTAACCAAAAGCTAACTAGCATTAAACACAAACAAGTACAAACAAAAACAAACTCAAACAAGCGAACATGATTACATTCATAAACCTTAAGATTAAAAGTTATCCATAATTCAACATTACAACAAGACGTGGTCTTACTTAGTGAAAAGAAGACAATTTAACTTGTTCCTCTTAAGTAGACAACATTCATTGAACAATTGTTATTGTCATACTTAGATAAACCTACTTAAACATATAGCAAACGGCAGCGAATACAAAAAAAATAACAAGCAACATGAATGCGTCACCTTGGTTAGCATTGTGGGCTTTCAGCATCGTGACATCTTCTTGAAGCATACCCACATGTACTTGAAGCATAGACACATCTTCTTGCAGTATTCGGACATCTTCCTTCAACTCTGCAATGGTCGGATTAGTAGCATGGCGCCTGTCGACGCTGAAGAGCATCTCCTTCTGTTCGTCAAGCCTGAGCTCAAGTATGGAGAACTGCTCCGTTACAGCATCATCCCACCATTGCCTCTTGTGCTCACCACGACCCTACATAAGAGTAAATATTAAAGTCTTCATCGATAAACATGTATGTATTTAAAAACTTTGTAACTACAACTTACCTCAGAGACCCAGTCAGGGCAAGTGTAATACTTGCGGCCTGCAATTCCCATAGCACCACCAGGACAAGTTTCAAGCTTCACACGTTTCACACAGAAACATTTGTCCGGTATCCCGTAGGTAGCATCCGCGTAGGCCCAACCCAAATCCATTTCTGGACCTTCGGATGATGTTTCGCTGTAATGAGGCATTGTCTGCGATGATAGTCATTAAACAAGTCATTCTCTAAACAAAGTCACATAACTAATCACTTAACAAATAAGAACAAATAAGTCACATAACTAATCACTTAAGTAATCTCTAATGAAATTCACATAACTAACAACTCAGAAAGCAAAAGAACAGATCACATAAAACACAACAACAACCGATGCTAATGTCAAAGAGATAGTGAAGAGAGTCAAACAAAAAACATTGCCTACAATGAACTCCTACAAACAAAATTCGAATATCATACATAGCAAACTCTTTTCCCTTTTATCCGCTTGCAGCATGGTAACGACCATACATGGCAAACTCTTTTCCCTTTGTTTATGACTTTCAATCATGAAAAAATTTTCCCCCAAAATCGACAAACCCTAAATTTTAAAATTCAATTTCGTCAAACCCCACAATTCGAGTGTAACCGTTGTTAAAACATCATCTACATGCAACCGCCGATACACAGAAACCCCTAATTTGAACTTTCAATCATGTCAGAAATTTCCCCCAAATTCGTGAAACCCTAAATTCTTCAATTCAGTTTACCAAAACCAACAATTCGACTGTAATCGATGTTAAACAACATCTACATGCACACGCCGATACACAAAAACCCCGAATTTGAACCGATGATTAATCTGAAAAATTTTCCCCAAATCGACAAACCCTAATTTCCCCGATAGTTCAGCAAATAAAAGAAATAAACGGTTAGAAAGATGATTACCTTACGCAGATGACGGAAGAGATGGACCTGAGGCGCAGAAAACGTCCGGAAAGAATGATCTCCGGGATTTGACGATATCGCCTCCGCTGTCGCCTTCGAGAGAGAAAAAAAGAGAAAGGGTTTTTTCCTATTTTCCCCGACCCAAATTTTTTTACCCCAAAAATTAATTCATTAAAATTATAAATAACATTAAAATAAAACACCAATTACATTGCGCCACGCGTCCGACGAGACGGTCTCGTCCGCTCCTTATATAAGGAGCGATCCGTTCAGTTTTTCGCTCACAATTATTTTTATATTCATCGTTACATATGAAATTGTGCCGAAGATTGGGTTAAAATACCCTGCTGGAGATGCTCTTAGACGTGGTATTGGGAAGACAGAGACTTGACTAAGAACATCTCCAACAAAGAATTTTTAATGGAGTTCCAAGGAATAAAATAAGCAAAAATAATAAAAAGTATGAGATTTTTAAACAATAGATTTTAGAATTGGTTTTTAAGTAAAATTTTGAACTTATGCCACATGTCACTTTTTTATTGGTTTACTTTTAATTTTAAAAAAAATAGTTAAATAATTATATTACATTAAAATATTAATATTTAATTATTTAGAATCTAAATCATTAGAGATGGTCTAAGGTGTATAAGAAATTGACTTATCAGAAACTTACCAAAAAACTGGAGATAGATAAAGAGTTTGTCAGAGTTTGAGATAGATTGATTATTGTTGTCTCTCTTCTCTGTTTTTTTTTTTAAATTAAGGAATTAGAAGATGATGAAGAAAAGTAGGTATGGGCATTTGGATATTTGGTTCGGTTTCGGTTTGGAACTATTCGGTTCCAGATATTTCGAGTAGAGAGGGTTAGGATCCATCGGGTATTTTTATAAATTTTAGTTCGGGTTTGGTATCTTTTTCGGTTCGGTTCCGGTTCGGTTAATCGGATCCGGATCTTTTGCCTCAAATTTTTAATTCGACTCAAATTTTTTTAATATAAGTTATATCTAAAAATTCAAAAAAAAAAATATATATATATATCAAAACTTAAAAATATACCCAAAAATCCCAAAAATAAAGAATATATATTTGTAAAACCAGAAATATATACCAAATATCAAAAATATTTAAAAAAACTAAATTTAGAGAAATATATAATTATACTTTGGATAATTCGGGTATCCAATCGGTTCGATTTGGTACTAGTTCGGTTCCGGTTCTTCGGATATAAGAGCTTAAGATCCATCGGATATTTTTAAAAATTTCGGTTTGGATTTGGTACCTCTATTTCAGTTCGGTTCCGATTCGGATATTCGGATCCGGATTTTTTTGCCCAGGCCTAAAGAAAAGAAAAAGGATAAAAGAAGAGAAGAGAATACTGAAGAGACGAACACGATGATAATGGTGCTTCTTGGTATTTCCTAAATCAACTAACAGGAATTGTGTTTGTTCAGTTCAAGATGACAATTGATTTTTCATTAATTTACCAATTAGATTAAACAAAAGAAAAGTCAAGAGCGTCCAAATATTCCAATTCTTTATTGCCTAAATGACTTCTTCTACACTTGGAAATGAGAGTGACACAGCAGA